GAGCAATCCTCGTTCTTTCCAAATGGCTCCATGGGCATGTACTACTCCAAAGGCATATTTAGAATCAGTCCATATATTAATTTTCTTCCCTTTTGACAATTCTAGGGCTCAAGTCAAAGCAATTATTTCGGCCTTCTGTGCAGATGTCCCAATAGGTAAAGATTTAGCCTCTACTACCTTATGGGTGGTAGTCACAGCATATCCAGCCTTACGTTCTCCTTGCTTCACAAAGCTGCTCCCGTCTGTGAACCATGAGTCCTCAACATCCTCCAGTGGTTCTTCGTTCAGGTCTGGTCAACTGGAATAGACAGCTTCCATTGTCTCTAAGCAGTCATGCATCACAGGTTCTGAGGTATCCCCACTGAGGAAAGATGCTGGGTTTACAGTATTAGTAGTCTGTATATTAACGTCATCCTGCTCTACCAAAATAGGGAAGAATTAGCTATTGCTAATAATTTTTCCTCCTATAGCATAGAATAGAGCACCTGCTTGGAGATAAAATTGATCAACAGCATTGGACAGATGATGGGACCCTATCTGAACGAGAGCTCCGGTCAACGCTGCTAGCTTTTGCCTGCACCCATGATATAAGAAACTGTAGAAAAACTGCCACTGAGATGTTTGGGAAGTGGATGAAGTCTAATGGAACAATGAGGTACCACAAAAACTGGTCTTCCCCTTCTTTTATCTGCCTGTTTTCCCATTATCTTGCCACCATTGTTTTTGGGGAAAAAAAAACAACAAAACAACCAAACAAAAAAAACCCACACCACCAACAACTGAATATTGATAAAGCACTTCATTCTGCCTTTTACTGTTGCTCCTATAAAATTAACTGCTGTTTTAAGATGATAGGGAGAACTGTGCTAGAATTTAAAGACTTTGCAGTCTCATTAAGTGTGACTGCAAAACGAGCCACAAATTGCTTTCCTAAGCTGCATGCTCAAGGATGATTACTTATTAGCAATGTCAAAGCATACCTTTTTATCTTGCAGAATTCATTCTGCTCTGGATTCATGTGCATTTTGAGCCACAGAAAATTACTGAGATTTTTGTACAATTTACTGTGCTTTATGTCACTAATATGACTTGCTTTTTCCCAATGACTTAAAGAATTAGACTGGCATGAATTCAGTCCAGCAAACTTAAAATTGCTACAGTATTGAATTGCTCAAAAGAGAGGCATCTCTTTCAAGCTAATCTTTTCATTTTGTGACTTTTCTTCCTTCTTTTCTCAGATGAGCATTTTTATGTCCCCCCTTTTTTTATTTGTTTGTTTTTTTGTTGTTGTTTGGTTTTGGTTCTGGTTTTGTTTTTCCCTGTAGTCTGCCTAGTGATGTTATGAAAGCCATATTTACAGCTGGAGCCAAATCTAGAGATGGCTGGGAATTCCTCCTAAAGATGTACTCCTCTTCAGTTTCTCAAGTAGAGAAAAGCAAAATGATTGAAGCCTTGGCCAGCACAGAAGATGTCAGAAAGCTGATCTGGTATGAAGGAGCCAAAAAGTTGTATGCTGTGTAAATCAAAAGCGTTAAAATCTTCTTTGAAAAAATGTATTGTCTTTTTTGTATTGTTGAAAAAAATTCTGATTGCTGAAGAAAATCTATCCAACACCTCCCTATAGACCAAATCTTAGTACTGTATGGAAGACACCAATGTTGTCCTGCTAGGTGATTTTTGTTACAGGTTTCCTCTCTTAACTTTTCAATGTATTATGTTTTCTGTTACAAGTTGTTAGAATTTACTTCATCTTTTCCAACAACAATGAAAATTCAAGTACTTGGTTTAAAGCTAAGGTCACTCTGATACTTGGAAACTAAAGCTAAGTAAGTACAGTGGTTATAAAATGGAGCACCGGTGTGTTCCAGATGACAGAAGTTGCTTGTTGTTTGATCTATTATATAATCTTTTCCATCTAATTCAGGAGTATCAGGAGAATTGTGAAGATACGAATAGATGTTTTTTCCTGTCCCTTTTCATATGCTTTGTCTTTTAGGTTAATGCAGAATAGCCTTGAAGGAAAAGTCATCAGGGCACAGGAGCTTTCACCTATCATAGCAACTGTTAGCCAGAGTTTGCCTGGATATTTGCTGGCCTGGGACTTTGTCAAAGAGAACTGGGAGAAGCTTACACGGAAGTAAGGCTTTTGATGTAGCCGAAACTTCACACTCACAGTGGCAAAAGCACCTGTTTGCTTCTTTCAAGCGCAAGATAATAAATAGTTGGATTCATATAAGAAGATTTGTATTAAAATTGTAAAGCCTGTTTTAAAATCTGATTTTACAAAAATAACTTGGAATATAAACTTTGAAGTCTCACCAATAGTTGGTGGGACTTTGGAGCCTTCTAGAGCCGCACAGTAATTCTAAAAAATCTTTATTTGAATTTCTGTTAAAAGGATGCTGTCTCTAAGATGCTTGCGGCAGATGCAGGATATTTATGTGGATCAAATGCATTCAAAAGGAGACCCAGGGAATTCATTCAGCATTTATTTTTTCTGTCTTTTACAGCAATCCCAAAACCAAATAACCAAAAAATCCCACTTGCTTTATAAATACATGTTCTCCTTAGCTGGCCTTGAAGGGTACCCAGGAGGAGAGCTGCCCTGCAAGTCTTCAAAAAGCTAACAGTACATGGAAAATTGTATTTCTAAATCCTAGTTTTAATTTGGAACAGTTTCACATTGCTAAAAAAGCTTCTTCTGGAAAAAATTTCTGCTCTAGCAAGCTCTTAATAACCAATATGACAAAATTACTTTGCTTGAAATGAAATCTGGTTGCAATTCAATTCCTGTAGGGTTTTGGAATACATACCACAAATACAGGTCTTGGTATTCAGTGTGTGGTGTCTTCAGTTCTTTACTATTTGAGCTGTGATAGAAGTTTGAAAGTTTTCCATGTCTGTTGCTCTGAAGTTCAGTTTTTAGAGGGATTAGGGGACTAGAGGCTTGGACTTCTGAGACCTTGTATCTTTTTCAAAAAATGAGATATGTAAACTTGCATTTAAGTGCTTTTAATGATTTCCAAACTACTAAAACAAAAAATTAGAAGTAAGATATGTACATATACTGAACCTGCATCTTAAAGCATCTCCTAGTTAAAAATAACTTCTTTGTTTGTATTTAGGTTTCACCTAGGCTCATATACTATCCAGAATATCATTAGCTGGTCAACTTCTCAGTTTGCAACAAAGGCGCATCTACTTGAGGTTGGTGGCTTAATCTACTAGAAAGGGATATTTTCTAGTGCCAGTGCTGTTTTCATTTAATTGTGGGATAAGGAAAACACAGGTCATTTCTGTCCTTGAGGCCCTTTTGCAAGGATCTGCAGCTATTGCTTTCCCTATTTTACACACAGGAAATATATATATAAACATATAATAACATAAACGTGTTGAAGATTACATACTGAGTCTGTGGCAGAGTTGCGTATAGAGTTGAACCCACTTACCTGTTCATACTGTTTTGTTTTCCTGTTCACTCTGTTTCCCAAAATAATGATTTTGGTGTAGATTTTGTAAACAGGCTATGCTTTCTGCATCTCTGGAATGTGATGGAGCACCATAAAAATTTCTTCATGTTATTTTTGCTGTCAACAATCCCAGGGAGCTATTTTGGAGGTTGAGCATCAGTTAAGATCCAGTTAATAGCCATTAGAAATCTCTGTTGTCTTCCCTAACGGGGCCTTGAAGTTAATGTGTCAAGAATGGTTTATGGTTTAGTCTAATGTTTTTGTTCAGATAATTTGGTAGAGATAGTTGTTTAGGGTTTGATCTATAGTATTTTAAGTGTTAGCATTGATAATTAGAATGATCAGTGAATGGGGGTCATTCCCGAGCACTCAAGAGGGTTGCTTGCAACAATCAGTTCTTTGTCGCAGAAAGAGACTCTTTTTTTAGAACTCTGAGTGCTCTGTGATTGCTCTGTGATATGATAAGTGAATATCTGTTTATGGGTGAAATAATTTATCGAAACCAAATGAGTTATTGCTGCAGTTCCCATGAAAAATGCTTTCCTTGTATTTTGGGAACTCCTTTAAGAGGTTTGCTTACTGCATAGATACAAATGATTCTCAGGGATGGATTTCTTGCAACATATGTGTAGCCTTTGCTTCTGAACCTATTTGTGTGGCCAGTGTTGATTTTAATTAAAATTTTCTTTTCCTTTCTTTTCTCTTGCTGTGCAGGTGAAGTCATTTTTTGAGTCAAAATCAGAGGAGAGTTCTCAACTGCGTTGCGTGAAAGAGGCAATTGACACAATTCAGCTCAATATCCAGTGGATGGAGAGGAACTTAGCAAAGCTACAAGAACTGCTGTAGTGCGCTTAATGCTGTGGCGTGTCAGCCATTTAGGAGCTCTGTGGGCAGTTGCTGTGTTTCTTTTGCAAAAGCCAGGGTGAAACCAGGCAACATTGTTTGCACTATTAAGGAGTCTAGATAGCTCAGGGCATGTCTCGGATAAATTTTTATTTTCCTTGGAGCATTTATGAGCAAGATGTAAGTATTTATTCTAAAACTATTTTCATCTATAGACCAAACATCTGCACAAATGATTAAATATGATTTTATATTTGAAACATATGCCCTTTCATTTGGAGTTGTGTTGTAGTTTCTTAGCAGTGGGTTAGTTTTGACAGGTAGGGTCAGAAAGAAGGAAAGAGGTACCGTGAACTGTTACTTCTTTGCAGGCTTCTCATTGAGCAGTAGATTTTTTAATGCAAAACTGTAGGTGGTTTCCACATTTGTAGATACAGAAACTGTTGTGAAACAAAATCATACTTCAGATACCTAAACAGTAGTGGATCTTGTAAAGTACACCAGTTTGAGGCAAAATAAATAAGGTTCCAATTTGATTTAAGTTTGGATTTTTTATTTTCACAGTATTCTTTAGGAATTGCACAAAAAAAAAAAAAATATATCCCTTGCTAATAATATACACTTTGATGTATAAAGTGGCTGGGTAGTAGTATGGAAAAGAAAAACCAGACAGCTAAACCAAGTGATTTAGAGATGGGATTTCCAGAAACACTGATGTGACATTGAAACTTTTACTCTGAATTTATTAGACATTTTTGAGAATCTCATCATTAATCATTGGACTTCAACTGATTTTGCTGTATTGATCTCTGAGCAACTGCGCAAAATTGCATTTTTACAGGTTGGTTCATCTGTTAAACTGACTACTGATTTGTGCCCTTTTGACTACTGATTTTTAATTTCACCACTTGTTGCAGAGGGCCTGCAATTAATAGATATGTCAGCCACTCCATTTGGGTAAACTTCTGGTTTTTCCTTGCCTGCTAGCTCACATATCACAGTATAATTTGTGAACATTGCTCACTCTTTATAACATTAGCTTTAGGAAAGCTTCTCATTTAGATTTTAATGATTTGTTCTTCTGCTGTTGTGAAAAATCTTGTGAGACAAATCTTCAAAGTCTTTTAAAGAAAAGGATCTAAAACCCTAATGTGCTACATTAGAAAGGTGAAATACCTACTGTACGATCTGCAGCTCTTTCAAAAGCAGTGAAAAAGGCCATTTTTGAGGTATAGCATATATATACAATACATGCAAGAGTAAACATACCTTTTTATCTGGAAATCTGTTCTATTCATTTCATTACCGATGCACCTTTTGTGGATTCATGCAAGCAGATCCAGACCTGTTGTTGTCTTATCATCATCCAATTATGTGATCAGTTATAAAATACTCTGAAAGCAGTAACAATTAAAAGTTGTACTATTTTAATTAAACTAATGTAATTTCAGCTACAGTAAATTCTGAAGAATAGTTTGAATTAGAGTTAAATTAATGGACTTAAAAATTTGTCACAGGGTAATTCTAATTGAATGCTTTCATTTATGAAACTACAGCATTGGCTGTTTATTTGGTTAGCAAAAATTGTAAGCTATGATTGCTTAAACCATACCATGCTTTTCCCATCTTTTCAGAATATCTGTCAAAACTCCTGGAAAAGAAATTCCTCATTTTCCAGCTCTACATTAGAATTGCTGATGTCATTTTTAATCTTGATATTATCCGAAAGAATGTTAGACCTTAAGAGTGTACAAACACTTGTTTGCCCAAAAGGCCCAGAAATGAATTTTTACATGCACTGAAGAAGGAACTGAAGTATGAGCATTCAATATAACTCATACTTCCGTATAAGTTATGGAATTAGAATTGTAATTAAGTATGTTCTTGGAAATTTTGTACTGCCATGTGTTGCAGCTTCATTTCCTCCTTTATTTTAAGCTCTTGGAAACTCTACAGAAATATTAGTTCCATCTTTGCATATTTGTGTGTGTGTGTGTGTATATATATGTCATCTCTTTTTCTTTCTAGTCACTTCTTCATATTAAATGAGAAGTCAGTAGTAAAGTTTCACTTTTCTATCCCTTCTATCCCTTCACATGTGTTTTACCTCATCCCTGACCTGCAGTATTGAGGCATATAAAATTTAAAATGGAAACTGTGGAGGAAGATTCCATCTTCCTGCTC